TGAAGCCTGGGATTTAAATATCCCACGCTTGATTTGTATCTTCCTGGACGGTCGCCATTTTTGAAATGTTCAAGTCCGGACTAACTGCCCGCGTCTACACACGGCAGGTACCTGGTAGTTCGAATTAAAGTCCCTAGTTCGAACTACCTGTTAAACCTCCTTGCAGGAGGATTTGCAACTTCGAATGCCTACATTAGCCTCCCTAGTTCCAACTAGGGGGCTAGTGTAGACATACCCTAAGATATTAAATTGTCTCATAAAACATTTGGTTTATTTTTTACAGATAGTCATAACTTTAATTATATCAGAAGTTTGGCAAATCAAGGGTGAACATGTGGATGCTCTGGCATAAAGCTGCAATGTTTGGATTGCTGACAGTGCAGGAAAATATGTTAATATCATAATATCTGACCTCACTGACATTTTCATCAATTTAATAAAACATTTCTAGTTCTGTAGGGTTGTATTATATCCTCCTTTAAAAATTAATTAACTGCTGGACCAGAATATTTGGCAGGATCTCTTTACAGATATTCTGCTTTGTTAAGCTCCCCGGCTGTCCTATCTGGCTGTTGAGTTCTTTTGAAGATCTGACTCATTATTTCTAGAACTGTACTCACAGGACCAGCTATCTTATTACTCCTGTAGTAATCATGTAAGGGGGTCAAATGAAGCTCTCCTTTCACTTATGTGGTTATACTATCCCAAACTATTCCCAGGAATTTGTATTCACTCACTTTTCAGAGTAAAAAATACCAGTCAGAAAAAGTTTGGACATTTAGACATTGTCAACATGAGGATATGTACAATGGACATTTCAAGTAATTAATGTTACTATCTATTCATGATGGTGGATGTGTGAAATCCCTTTCGTGCAGGTGGAGGCTTAGCTGGAACTTAATTTTTGTGTGGGCCATGTGCACAGGAGAAAATGTAATTAGTCAAAAGGTATCCTGTTAAAGATTTGCAACAGCAACCACTATACCAGCTCACTTTGCCTGTTCCAGGCTGGGTTCTTGCCAGATGTTCACATAACTGCATGAGAACTGATAAACTGCAGAACACAGATTGAAGAAAATGTCTGAGTAATGCTAAATTCAGAACTTTGGAGAGAGCACTATAATGGAGCATTACTTAGTAAACATATAGGCTGTGTCTAGACTGGCAAGTTTTTCCACAAAAGCAGTTGCTTTTGCGGAAAAACTTGCCAGCTATCTACACTGGCCGCTTGAATTTCCGCAAGAACACTAACGATCTCATGTAAGAAATCAGTGCTTCTTGCGGAAATACTATGCTGCTCCCGTTCAGGCAAAAAGTCCTTTTGAGCAAAAGGTTTTGCACAAAAGGGCCAGTGTCGACAGCTGAGATTTGTTTTGCGCAAAAAAGCCCCGATCGCGAAAATGGCGATCAGGGCTTTTTTGCGCAAAAGCGCGTCTACATTGGCAAGGACGCTTTTCAGCAAAAAGTGCTTTTGCGGAAAAGTGTCCATAACAATCTAGACGCTCTTTTCCGCAAATGCTTTTAACGGAAAACTTTTCCATTAAAAGCATTTGTGGAAAATCATGCCAGTCTAGACGTAGCCTTTGCATCATATAAAAAAATTCTGCATACTGATCGGCTGACAAAACATTCCAAGTGGTGTTATCTCACCATACTACAATTTCTGAAAATTCATAATAGCAATAGTCAAATTGTCAAATAGGGCAGATACTTACACACTTGTATGATTATATTCAGAGGCACAGTTAGCTTGATCACAAGGGTAAATCAGCTTTAATAGGCATCGTAGGTGCATGCAGGCAGCCTTAGTAGCTACTGTGCCATGTATGCAAATCAGTGGTAACTTCCTGTGCACAGATAGATATAGAACTGTAAACAACTGTAGAATAACCCTTTTTGAAAAATTGGCCCATAGTCACCAGCACAACCCATGCAGTTTGTGTATCAACTAGTTGGATCAAATGTAAGGAATATATGCCTAAGTACCAACCCTTGAAAGCTAAGACTGCTTAAAAACTGAAAACATTAATTAAAAAATTCAGAAACTCAGCTTGTTAGAAAAAACTCAGAAACTCAGCTTGTCTTTATATTATTAGCAAATACTAAGGATGTCATTGTTGTTCTACAAACTTCAAGAACTACAAAAAGTTGTTCTTGAGCAAGAGGACATATCCCTGAGTGGGAGCATCAGAGTATTTGCGAAAGAAGCACTGATTTTGTACATTACAACATTAGTGTAATGTACAAAAAGTAAAGTGTTCTTGCGCAAGAGGCCAGTGTAGGCAGGTAACATCAATTTCTTGCGCAAGAAAGCCCAATGGCTAAAATGGCCATTGGAGCTTTCTTGCGCAAGAGAGCGTCTACACTGGCACGGATGCTTTTGCGCAAAAGCAAATCTTTTGTGCAAAGGCACATGCCAGTATAGACTCTCTCTTGTGCAAATACTTTTAACGGAAAAACTCTTCCGTTAAAAGCATTTGCACAAAATCATGCCAGTGTAGACGCTGCACACAAGAAGCAGTTGCTTAAACTGGCAGCAGATATAGAGTAACTGATATTGGTATAATATATTTGCTGAATATTCCCCGGGGTGCCGCCATTTTTAAATGCCCCGTAGCTACACGCGGCACAGGCTAGGTAGTTTGAATTAAAGCTCCTAATTCGAACTACCTTTACTCCTCCTTGCATTCATTTGCAATTTTGAATGACTACATTAGCCACCCTAGTTCGAATTAGGGTGGCAGTATAGACATACCCTCAGTCTATAAGATGCCACAAGACTTCTCGTTGTTTATGCAGATTCAGATTAACCTCTCTGATACTTCTAAACCTTTAATCATTTTTGTTGATCTTCTCTTTACCTTCTCCAATTTCTCCACATCTTTCTTGAAATGTGGTGCCCAGAATTGGACACAATACTCCAACTGAGGCCTAATCAGTAAAAAATAGAGCGGAAGAATGACTTCTTGTGTCTTGCACACAATACTCCCGTTAATGCATCTCAGAATCATGTTTGCTTTTTTTGCAACAGCATCACACTCTTGGCTCATTTTTTAGCTCGTAGTCAACTATGACCCCTAGATCCCTTTCTGCAGTACCTTTTCCTAGACAGTCGCTTCCCATTCTCTGTGTGTGAGACTGATTGTTCCTTCCTAAGTGAAGTCCTTTGCTTTTCTCCTTATTAAACTTCATCCTATATATCTCAGACCATTTCTCCAGTTTATCCAGATCATTTTGAATTATGACCTTATCTTCCAAAGCAGTCACAACTCCTCCCAGCTTGGTATAATCTGGAAACTTTATAATTGTACTCTCTCTGTGCCATCATCTAAATCGTCAATGACATATATTGAACAGAGCCTGTCTTAAAACTGACCTCTGGGGAACGCCACTTGTTATGCACTTCCAGCTTGACTGTTAACCATTAGTAACTGTTCTTTGAGAATGGTTATCTAGCCAGTTATTCAGGTTATATTTCCTTAGCTATTTCCAAGATATTTAGATATTTCACTAGATTTATTTTAGAGATACAGGTTGGATCTCCCTAGTCTAGCACCGTCAGGATCTGACCAGTCCCGAATTAATTTTCAGGACCAGGGCCCAGCTTGAGCCAGCCAGTCTCCTGCCTCTGGCCCTCTCTAACACCTCCCCAGCTGGTCTGTCCACCCTGCTGCCACTGGCCCCTGACCTGGACTGCCCTGAGTGTTAGGGTTCTCCAGCTCCTGGCTCTGTGCTGCAGAGCCAGGTTTTCCAGCTCTGTGCTGCCATGGGCTTTCTTTGTTCTCTGGCCCCCTTCCATGTCCTGCTGCAGGCTGCCAGGGTTCCCCAGCTCTGCACTGCTACAGGCAGCCAGGCTTCTTCAGCCCCCGGCCCCATGTTGCCATGGGTTGCTGGGGTTCTCCGGTCCTGCCCCAGCACTTTTATTTTTGGTTCTGGACATCCAACACTCCAGTAATCTGAAGAAGTTTGCTGTGCCCAAGAAAGCTCATGATACCATCTACATGTTTTGTTAGTCTATAAAGTGCTGCCAGACCATTTGTTGTTTTTTAAGTTTATTCTGTACAAACTAACTTGGCTACCCCCTGAAATTTTTGAACTAGAGTAGACAGGCTGCTGGCATTCAGCAGCATTCCTCTGCTCTCCTCCTCACTCCATTCATCCCAATAACTCCCTACTTCTGGGCTATCGCCCAGGCCCACACTCTGTCTATATCCTGCAATTGTGGAGATGAGTTTCTATAGAGTAGAGCACTCTCACGGGCACTAAAATGTCAGTGGTGGGATTGACATGGACAAGAATTTGAGGGTAGGGTATTGTGGAACACAGGGAGATGATGAAAACATTTGCAGGTGATTCCTTTCTGACAATGTCTTCCTAAGACAGATATGATATAATCGTAGAAGCAAAGATTTAGAAGGGTCTACAAAGATCATTTAGGCTAACCCTCTGCCAAGATGGAGGTAGCATGCACAATTAAATAGAGTAGCTATGTTTTTTTCTCCCTCTTTGGACTTCTGTTGTGACTGGTCAGCTCCTTCTTTTAATAGGGTGGTCTGTTGCACCACCAGAATCCATAACCTTCACATGACTTACGCAATTTGAAAGGCTATAGATATTGTTGCTTGGATTGGGTTCAGAGTGCATTAACTTAAAACCCCCCAAACGTTAGCCCTTAATTAGTTGTACCTGACACTCTGGGGTTAACTAGAGAGAGCAGAGAAAACAAATCTCTTTAACAATATTGTCATCTTCTGAGTCCAGCAAAGAGGCAAAGATGCTACCTTATATATTTTTCATTAGAATAGGAGTTTACATTTTTGTTTTCAAACTGTATGCTGTCATATTTTTTTAATTATTCTGCCATTACATAAATATTCATAAATACTACCTGAAACAATATTACATATAAGGTCAATTCTGTTCTCAGTCACATGGGTATAAATGAAATCCCATACTTCTCATTTTTAAAAAGAATATAATTGTTTATGGTTTCTTTTTAGGTAACTAAACAAGAGAGGAGTCTTATGAAGCCCCTTTATGACAGATACAGAATTATCAAGCAACTGCTTTCAACACCATCTTTGATTACAACAATTGTAAGTTGGAAAGAATTAATATTTATTGTAAAGAAGCTACAAGAGATTTTGAGCTGTGTTTTGTATGGAAAAATGTAAAAAACAGCAAATAGACTAGTAGCACCTTAAAGACTAACAAAACATGTAGATGGTATCATGAGCTTTCATGAGCACAACCCACTTCTTCAGATGATCAGCTTAGGGATAGAAGTGGGTTGTGCTCATGATATCATCTACATGTTTTGTTAGTCTTTAAGTCCATTAGTTGTTTTTTTACATTTTTCCTGTTATAGACTAACTCAGCTACCCCCTGAAGCTTGAGTTTTGTATGTCAGTTTAGTGACATTCTAATCACAATTGCACATGAAGAGTTTATAGAGATTTTATTGATCAAGTCAGACAGTTGATATTTCAAAGGGAATAAACATTCCACATGATTCAACCCCAAACATGCCAGAGGTCATGATGTAAAAGATCAATTTCTGAATCAATCAGTGTGCATGGGAGGGAGGGATCAAATGAGGGAGTTCAGATTTTATCTTTCACCATTACAAACAATTCTACATAAGAAAATAAAAGCTATGTCCATCTGTAGTGTATTGTTAATGTATCTGCCTCCATCTATGATTGTTCAAAATACGTTCATCACCACTCAGAACATTAATATATTAGCATAGCATTTGGATCAACTCTATGCCAGTGTGAAAGAAAGACAGCAGGAAAGAAAGGAAAGGCTTTTCATGTATGAGATTCTGATTCTTAAATAACAATTTTTTAAAATTTACATGTTAACATTGATAAGGTAGTTTGCCTGGGAGTTCACATTAGGGGAGCCCCACAGATGTTGGAGGGTCTTTCTCTTTCTCCTCCCCTTTAGGTTTCAGGGTGCGATCAATACAACATCCGAGGAGTCTCTTGGAAGGAAGGCAGTACGGATAGAGAGATCAGCTGTTGTGACCTGCACAGCATTTGCCATGTTTGTCTTCCTCCCAGAGCATAGAAAATAATTTGTCTGTACAAGTGCAAGCTGATCTCCATGTTGGAAGATAAAGTTAAAGTATCAACCCTGTGTTCCATCAGAGAAAATGAAGACTTTCCGGATAGAAGTCAGAAACTTATACTGCAGGTACAGGATGCAGAAGAAAGAGATAGGACAGTGCAGAATGGGGAAGAAAATTGGCAGCATGTGACCTCCAGGAGGAGAAAGACAATTCGGGTATCCCCAATCCAGACAGAGGTAAATAATCACTTTCAGGCTCTCTGCACAGATACTACGGTGGAGAATGCTTTGGCAGAGACCTCTGAGGGAAGGGATGAGAAGGAGACTCCATCAACCAGAAGGCATGGGATGCACAGTCCTAGGGATGCAGCTTCCATGACCACTACTCCCAAGAGAAGGAGACCAGTGGTGGTGGTTGGGAACTCCCTCCTAAGGGAGACAAAGTTATGCATTTCTTGTCCAGACCAGGAAACTTGAGAGGTGTGGTGCTTGCCTGGAGCTAGAATTCGGAATGTGCCTGAGAGTCTTCTGAAACTAATCAAGCCCTCAGTCCACTACCCCTTCATACTTCTCAATGTAGGACCAATGATACCATGAAGAATGACCTTGAGCAGGTCATGGCAGATTATGTAGGGCTGAGAAGAAGAATCAGGGAGTATGAAGTGCAAGTTTTCTTGTCCATCCTCCCTGTTGAAGGAAAAGGCCCAGGTAGGGTACCATAGAATTTTAGAAGTAAATGAACGGTTGTGCAGGTGGTGTCAGAGAGAGGGCTTTGACCATGGGACTCTGTACTGGGCACAAGGATTGCTAGGAAGAGATGGGATCTACCTAATGAAGAGAAGGAAGAGCATCTTTGTGGGCAGGCTTGCAAACCTAGTGAGGAGGGCTTTAAACTAGGTTCATTGGGGGATAGTGACCTAAGCTCTGAGGTAAGCGGGGAAATGGGAAGAAACACAAGAAGGAAGGTGCAATGGGGAGGACCCCCGATTCGAACTGAGATGGTTGAGCAATAACATAGTTATCTAAGGTGTCTGTACATGAACACAGGAAGCCTGGGAAACAAGCAGGAAGAATTGGAAGTCCTGACACAGTCAATGAACTATGATGTGACTAGAATAACGATGACTTGGCGGGCTGACTCACATGATTTGAGCAATATCATAGAAGGGTATAAACCATTCAGGAAGGACGGGTGGGGAAAAAAGGAGGAGTTGCACTGTATGTAAGAGAGCAGTATGATTGCTCAGAGCTCCAGTATATAAAGGGAGAAAAGTGTGTTGAGAGTCTTTGGATTAAGCTTAGACGTGGGAGCAACAAAGGTGATGTTGTGGTTGGTGTCTGCCATAGACCACTGGATCATGTGGATGAGGTAGATGACACATACTTCAGACAACTAAGAGAATCTTCCAGATCACAGGTCCTGGTTCTCATGGAGGACTTTAATAATCCTGACATCTGTTGGAAGACCAATATAGCAGTACACAGACAATCCAGGAAGTTTTTGGAAAATGTTTGAGGTAACTTCCTGGTACAAGTGCTGAAGGAATCAACCACATGCCATGTGCAGCTTGACCTGTTGCTCACAAACAGGGAGGAATTAGTAGGGGAAGTACATGTGTGTGGCAAACTGGGCAGCAGTGATCATGAGATGGTCGAGTTCAGGATCCTGACCAAAGAAAGAAAGGAGAACAGCAAAATACAGACTCTGGACTTCATAAAAGCAGACTTTGACTCACTCAGAGAACTGATGGGCAGGATCCCCTGGGATGCTAACATGAGGGGGAAAGGAGTCCAGGAGACCTGGCATTTTAAAGAAGACTTATTGAAGGCATAGAAACAAACCATCCCGATGTGCAGTAAGAAAAGCAAATATGGTAGGTGACCAATTATCTTAGCAGTGAAATCCTTGGTGAGCTTAAACACAAAAAGGAAGCTTACAAGAGGTGGAAACTTGGACAGATGACTATGGAGGAGCATAAATATATTGCTTGAGAATGCAGCGATGTAATCAGGAATGCTAAAGCGCAATTCAAATTGCAGCTAGCAAGGGATGTGAAAGGTAACCAGAAAGGTTTCTACAGGCATGTTAGCAATAAAAGAGTGATCGGGGAGGGTGTGGAACCCTTCCTGGATGAGGGAGGTAACCTAGTGACAGATGATGTGGGAGAAGCTGAAGTACTCAATGCTTTTTTTGTCTTGGTATTAGACTGCTGAACGAGGCAGCAGAGTCTGGAAAGGAGGTGTGCAGCCTTCGGTGGAGAAAGAACAGGTTCAGAATTATTTAGAAAAGTTGGACATACACAAATCCATGGGGCCGGATCTAATGCATCCGAGAGTGGTGAGGGAGTTGGCTAATGTGATTGCAGAGCCATTGACCATTATCTTTGAAAATGCATGAAGATCGGGAGAGGTCCCAGACAACTGGAAAAAGGCAAATGAAGTGCCCATCTTTAAAAAAGGGAAGAAGAACAATCCATGGAATTACAGACTAGTCAGCCTCACCTCAGTCCCTGGAAAAATCATGGAGGGGATTTTCAACGAATCCATTTGGAAGAGAGGAAAGTAATCAGGAATAGTCAACATTGATTCACCAAGGGCAAGTCATGCCTGACTTATTTATGACAAGGTAACTGGCTCTGTGGACATGGGGAAGTCAGTGGATGTGATGTACCTTGATTTTAGCAAAGCTTTTGATACTGTCTCTCTCAGTATTCTTGCTAGCAAGCTAAGGAAGTATGGATTGGATAAATGGACTGTAAGGTGGATAGAAAGCTGGCTAGATGGTTGGGCTGAACGAGTTAGTGATCAACAGCTCGGTGTCTGGTTGATGGTCGGTTTCACGTGGAATGTCCCGGGGTCAGTTCTGGTGGTGGTTTTGTTCAACTTCTTTATTTATGACCTGGATGAGTTGCACCCTCAGCAAGTCTGCAGATTACACTAAGCCAAGGGAAGAGATAGATATGTTAGAGGGTAGAGATAGGGTCCAGAGTGACATAGAGAAATTGCAGGTTTGGGCCAAAAGAAATCTAATGAGGATCAACAAGGACACTTGTTGGACTTGGAACAGAAGAATCCCAATCATTGTTACAGGCTGGGGACTGACTGGCTAGATAGCAGTTCAGCAGAAAAGGCCTTGGGGATTCTAGAGGATGAGAAGCTGTATATGAGTCAAGGGGGTGCCCTTGTAGCCAAGAAGGCTAATGGCATTTTAAAAGCAGGACTATGTAGCACTTTAAAGACTAGCAAGATGGTTTATTAGGTGATGAGTTTTCGTGGGCCAGACCCACTTCCTTTGATCTGATTCTGGAAGAGAATTGGCATGACCGTATATACCAAAGGAATACAATGAAAAAAGTCTAAAAAATAGGTATATATGGTGTGATGTAGTGGGAAGGCCATACCCTGCCGATCCCTGGGGTGCAAACTCACCGACCGAGTGCTGTAGTGCCCCAAGATTCACAGGAATCATTTCCGGAAAAGGCAGGGGGGTGGGGGGGGGGGGGGGAGGAAGGTAAGTGTCTGTGAGTTAATGATATTAGAGGTGGGGAAAGGTAGATGTCTGTGAGCTAATGGTATTAGAGGTGATAATTGGGGAAGTTATCTTTGTAATGGGTTAAGAAAGACCCCAACTACCTTACCCAAAGACCCCAACAGACACTTACCTTCCTTCCCCCTCCTGCATTCCCCTCCTGTTCTGAAATGTGATTTGTCCTTTTCATATTTGTTCATTTTTTTTAATTGTATCCTTTGGTATATATGGTTGTGACTATTTTCTTCCACTATTTGATCTGAGGAAGTGGGTCTGGCCCACGAATGCTCATCATCTAATAAACCATCTTGTTAGTCTTTAAAGTGCTACATTGTCCTGCATTTTGCTTCAGCTGCACCAGACTAACACGGCTACATTTCTATTACTAATGGCATATTAGGTTGCATTAGGAGGAGCATTGCCAGCAGATTTAGGGAAGTGATTATTCCCATTTATTCGGTACTGGTGAGGCCATGTCTAGAGTATTGCGTCCAATTCTGGGTTCCGCCCCCCCTCCCCCATTACAGAAGGGATGTGGACTTAGTGGAGAGAGTTCAGCCAGCAGAGAGCAACAAAAATGATTAGGGGGCTGGGGACATGCTTTCTGAGGGGAAGCTGAGGGATATGGGCTTGTTTAGTTTTGTTTAGTCTCCAGAAGAGATGATTGAGAGGGGATTTAATAGCAGTTTTTAACTACCTGAAGTGGGGGAGGCATTCCAAAGAGGAGGGAGAAAGGCTGTTCTGAGTGGTGACAGATGGCAGAATGAGGAGCAATGGTCTCAAGTTACAGTGGGGGAGATGTAAGTTGGATATTAGGAAAAACTATGTTTCTAAGAGGATGGTGAAGCTCTAGAATGGGTTACTGAGGAAAGTGATGGAATCTCCATCCTTAGAAGCTTTTGGGTCCTGTCTTGACAAAGCCCTGGCTGGGATGATTTAGTTAGGGTTGGTCCTGCTTTGGGCAGGGGGTTGGACTTGATAAATTCCCCCATTTATTTTAGTAGCACTCTCTGCAGAATGGGATGCCATTGAATGTAAACTGTGGTAGCAGATTCTCAAGCTTTGTAAATCATTTGTCTCATCACTATGAAAGAAAATACTATTTACATAGCCATGTTCTTGTGCTGTGGTATAACCTTAAATATGTTATAACACTGTCATTCTTTTTTCATTATTAACAGCATTTGTAACCTTAAAAATGCCTCTGAAATTATTTTTTATGAATATTATAGCTTTAATTTATGAGCACTGTTAGAACTAAATGGTTCAAGTTTATTTTATGTAGTATTAAATGAAAGGACTCCCTCAATGCAAACCTTATTCATGTGAGGAGTTTAATTCATTTCAACAGGACTAATGTAATGAGTAAGGGTTTCAGAATTGTGCCCTAAATCCTATTTAAAATATGTGATTGCAAACTTTTAGTTATCTGAATAATAAACAGGAAATAATTAGAAGAGCTGCTAATGGAAGTAAGGGCCAGATTCTGCCACATTGAGTCATGGCAAGTAATACTGTACAAAGAAATTTATCCCCTCAAAAGCTGTAGTGAGAAATCTCAAAGGGTATGTCTACACTAGCTTGTTAATTCGAGCTAGGTAGGCAAATGAGGCGACTGGAGTTGCAAATGAAGCCCGGGATTTAAATATCCCGGGCTTTATTTGCATGTTCCTGTCCGGTCGCCATTTTGAAATGTCACTAGCCCGAACTCACTGCCGCTCGGCTACACGCGGCAGTGAAACATTAATTCGAACTAAGTCCTTAGTTTGAATTAACTGTTACTCCTCATTCCACGGCAGTGAGTTCGGGCTAGTGAAATTTAAAAATGGCAACCGGACGGGAACATGCAAATAAAGCCGGGGATATTTAAATCCCGGGCTTCATTTGCAATTCCGGTCACCTCATTTGCCTACCTAGCTCGAATTAACGAGCTAGTGTAGACATACCCAAAGTATGTCTAGCTATTCATTTTAATATTCATATATTTTCAACAAATAATAAGATTTAGACAGCTAATTTAAGAATGGCATTACCTATTACAAGCAGGAGGAAGAAGATTCAGATGAAGACCATTCTCAAAGCAGCCATGAATTATCATCCGCTCCAGCATCTAACCTTCATGTGGATGCCAATCTGTGTTATGCAGATGAGGAGAATGAGCCAACATTTGTTTCACCTCTGGATGAAAAAAAGTCAATCAAACAACCAGCCCTATCTCTGTCCAATTTACATGAGGCCACAATGTGAGTATTGCAATTTTTCTTAATGCATCAAAAACACATTTTCTAGTCACAACATGATCTGTACTTACTGTCAAATTTCCAGTGGTAAGGAAGCTTTAGTCCAGGAGTGTGGAACCTGTTTTGGGTCAGGGCCACTGTCTCACAGAAAAATCAGTCAGTGGCTGCACACAAGTGAGAGAGAAACATCCCAGCCCTCACTAGCGTGGGCTCCCCAATGCTGTGGGAAGCCCTGAGCCTCAGGGGTTGGATACAGGCAAGCTGGGGGATGGATCCAGCCTCCAGACCTTAGGTTCCCCACCCCTGCTCTAGATCGAAGGTTTGAGTTATTTCCTTTTTGTGAGAGAAAGTAGAGAGGGGATATTTATTTAATCAATACCTGTGGATTTCAGTACTAGAGAACTGCCTAAGTCTGCAAAGAGAGAAACAAGGGATTATAAATATATAAGGGTATGTCTACACTAGCTCATTAGTTAGAGCTAGGTAGGCAAATGAGGGCAACCGGAGTTGCAAATGAAGCCTGGGATTTAAATATCCCGGGCTTCATTTGCATGTTCTCGGGCGCTGCCATTTTTAAATCCCCCTTAGTCCGAACTAACTGCCCACGGCTAGATGTGGCAGTTAAACGTTAATTTGAACTAACTCCTTACTGTTATTCCTCATGGAATGAGGAGTAACAGTTAATTCGAACTAAGTAGTTAGTTCGAATTAACGTTTAACTGTCGCTTCTAGCCGTGGGCAGTTAGTTTTGTTAGTTCGGACTAAGGGGGATTTAAAAATGGCAGCGCCCGAGAACATGCAAATGAAGCCCGGGATATTTAAATCCCAGGCTTCATTTGCAACTCCGGTTGCCCTCATTTGCCTACCTAGCTCGAACTAATGAGCTAGTGTAGACATACCCTAAGAAATCTGCAAATAGGTAGACACCACATGATGACCTGGTATAAATGATTTGTCCATTTACATATTTGTGTCAGGAAGTTTAGATATTTATCCACTTAGTTTCTTAAAAGGCTCTTGTGGAAGAAGACACTTTGGATGAAGAGACATTAATATTAATGGTGGCTTGACCAACCAGGCTAATTTGTTTTCATTTATATATTGCAGTTCCATTGGTTACATTTCACATTGGACAAGTGTAGTGTCACAGGTGTGAAAGAGGACACCTATTCACCTGAAGAATCTGAATCATATTATCCCATTTATAAAATATACAGTAATTGCAAGAATAATTTTAATTTATAGTCTGGCATAATAGAATTGTTCATGTATTTTCACCATGTTAACATAAGTCAATCAATATCTTCATCAAATAAAAAACAGGACTGTGTAGCACTTTAAAGACTAACAAGATGGTTTATTAGGTGATGAGTTTTCGTGGGCCAGACCCACTTCCTCAGATCAAATTGTGGAAGAAAATTGACATGATCATATATACCAAAGGATACAATCAAAAAAATGAATACATATGAAAAGGATAAATCAAATTTCAGAACAGAAGGGGAATTGGGGTGGGGGGGGAGGTAAATGTCTGTGAGCTAATGATATTAGAGGTGATAATTGGGGAAGCTATCTTTGTAATGGGTAAGGTAATTAGGGTCCTTGTTAAGACCTAGGTGTAAAGTGTCAAATTTAAGCATGAATGACAGTTCAGAGGATTCTCTTTCAAGTCTGGTGTTAAAAGGTCTTTGAAGCAGGATGCAGGTAATCAAGTCATTGAGACAATGCCCTTTCTGGTTGAAACGGCAAGAAACTGTTTTTTCTTTGTGATCCTGTCTAATATCTGTTTTGTGGGCATTGATTCTTTGGCGAAGTGTCTGAGATGTTTGTCTAATGTACATAGCAGATGGACATTGCCGGCACATGATAGCATAAATTATATTTCTGGATGAGCAGGAATATGTGTTCTTTCAGCTAGACCAGACTAACATGGCTACATATCTATTATTCATCAAATAAAATTATTGCTATCCACAAGGGTATCAACGAACTCCAAACAATGACACAAACAGTGCTTTGTAATCTTGTTATGTTTTGTGTTTCTGTGAAAAGGACAGAAAATGGTCAGGCTATTCAATTATGGGGACACGTGTCATTCAGCGCTGGGGCTCACTCATGAAAACACACCCTAGGAATGGATATGATCTCATAGCTTATACTATTCCTTATATTTCTCATGTGTTTTCATTAACAACAGCGAACCATATACATGAACAAAGTCTGTTCCATTCTATCAAGTGCACAAAGATAGACAGAATCTTTGTACTGTGGAACTCCCACTGTGTAAATGATGCAGCATGAAGCAATGTTGCTGAGATTTCTCAGTGCATCACATTATTATGAAACAGTATTTTTATCCCACAACTACTGGCCAGCTTAGTTCTTACTGCAGAGTGCAGTGCCACTGACACAATAAAGAGCACTGCTATTGGTGGAAAGTGATTTCAGGATCAGGTCCTATGTGGCTAATCATGTATACCCTCTGTTACTTAGAGGCCAGAGATTGCATGGTGACAAGTTTTCTAGGAGATGCTGAGCACCATGAACTCCACCTAGAACTAAGGGTTCCCACAGGATTAGGGCCAGAGTGTTTTATTGCTTTCTTCCATAGATTCTTTGCATTTTCTTTATTAGAGGAATGTGAATGGCACCAAAGGCAAGAAAACACACTGCAGATTTATACTTGTGGTGTTGTGTTATAATGCGCTATTATAATCGGTCTTGGTAAGACAATTTTAGGACACCTTGAATTTAACAGGTCTAATTCAGAACTCAGATGAATGGACACACTTGTCACTATGTGCATATTCAAGGGCCACATCCAGCCCTAATGTTTTAACTATTTCCAAGTCCTTAAAGGCTTCAGCTTCCTCTATTTCCCCTGTAGGCCTGTGCTACTTGAACATCTCAGAGAAACAAGAGCTGACAAGAAAAGGCTGCGCAAAGCTCTCCGAGAATTTGAGGAACAGTTTTTAAAACAAACAGGAAGGTAAATAAAACCTCTTTCATATATTTTGAGCAGATTTTTATATTTCCAGTAAGAAACATTCTTAGCAGCAGGAACTTACCTGCAGTAATTGGACTAGGCAAAGAACTGTTATTTTTTGGAACTCTGAAAACACAAGGTACCTACTGCCCATGAATGGAAGGGAACTGCTGGGAGCACCGTGAAAGCATCAGGTCTTCATGGAGCTTATTTTTTGCTCTGACAATTCCTCCAGGATCTGTGCAGAATCTTGAAGTTCTTCCATGTTTAGGGTGACCCGCATAACAAATCCTCTGAGGGGACAAAGCCACCCCTTGAAGATCCACAGGGAACTCTGTCAGAGGCTCAGTCCAGAAACGTCCTTCCCTGGGCTTTCTTCAGAATTAGCAATGTAACTCTTAGTCAGGGATTGGGGTAGCCCAGCAGCAGCTGTGTGTGCCATGCATGAACTATTAGAGCCCCGTGGCTTACAGAATTCATTTGCAGATTGAGAATGACAGTGTTTTTTGATAAATGCGCTGCTGAAATGTCACTTTCCTGGAGACTTTTTACCAAGACAGGTATATTGGTGGCTGGAAGCTCTGCACCTGTGAGCAGAGAAGGAGCCATTTTGTTGCTGTTGTTTTTAACAGAGACCTTCTTGATGAAGTTTTTTCTATTTTGTTTATTTGGGAGTTTATTAGTAAATTTCAAATTATACCTAAAACAAGGTGAAATTCTAATTTTCAAAAATATGACCCCCTCACATATTCACATCCCAATACTAAATGAAGCGCTGGATTTAAATATCCCACCCTTCATTAGCATGTTCCTGGCCAGTTGCCATTTTAGAAATTGACTAGCCCGAAGTAACTGCCTGCGTCTACACGAGGCAGTGAAACGGGATTCTGAATTAAAGCCCTAAATCGAATTAGCTGTTATTCCTCCTGCAATGAGGTTTACCAGATAATTCGATTTAGGGCTTTAATTTGGAATCCCGTTTCACTGCCGCGTGTAGACGCGGGCAGTTACTTCGGGCTAGTCAATTTCTAAAATGGCAACTGGCCAGGAACATGCTAATGAAGGGTGGGATATTTAAATCCAGCGCTTCATTTGCAATTTCGGTCACCCTTATTAGCCTCCCTAAATCGAACTAGGGGGCTAGTGTAGACAAACCCCTACTATTTCAGTTGCTAAATCTGCTTAAATGCTACTGAAGTCATGACACTTCCTGAATAAAAACAGCTTTAACTCCTTGAGTGATTTTAGATAGGTCGGAATGATTTCTTATTATGATGAAAATCAGCAGAAAGCACTTGTATGGTCTCTGATTCTGCGAATTCAAATCCAGTGCCCTTTGGATGAGTAGGAACTTTTCCATGTATTTTCTCTGGGTATTGGAGCATGTCAATATATGGTTCCAAAAGAAAACTATATTATAGTACCCTAGTATTCATTTGTTCCATAATACAGTACAACAACATATTGTATATTTGGGAGTTAAGTAATTATGACTTACACAGTGACAAGAAATGTGATTACCTTGTATAATCTAAATCTTAGAATTCAGTGTTTTCATGGTCATTCCTATAATCTGACTTCACCATAGTGTGATCTTTTCATATGTCTATTGGCATCTAAAATTAGAAACAAATATTAAAAAAATCACAGCAGAAATCATTTTAAAACCCATTTTTCTTCTGTCATAAAATGACAGATCACTCTTTGACTCTTTCAGGACTCCACAAAAGGAAGATCGTATCCCCATGGCTGAAGAGTACTCTGAATACAAGCACACAAAAGCCAAACTCAGGCTCTTAGAGGTTCTCATCAGTAAGCACGATGTCTGTAAAACAATTTGAACTCAATGAAATGCACTGCTAGTGATTGCTAGAAAAACCCAAACAAACTAAAAGAATTGTACAGGTCTGGATTTTTCTGCACCGTTATTAGACACACTGAGAATCTGATGCACTTTAATAATCTTATTAGCTGAGAATAGGAGAGGATGACAATGTGTCAGAGTAGGTAAATGGGAGTGAGTGAATGGTATTTTTTCCTTTTGGAGAAGCCTTGACGTGCACAATGATAATGTTGGAAGTTAAATGGACACTGTAAAATAGGCCTTCAGCCTAACCCATTTTAACCTTAAAATTTATAAACTGTTAGGAAATACCTTCCACGCTATAAAAATAACCGGAAATCCAGCACTCTATCTCACTTAAAAGCAGCTTAATTCACTATTTTGGTAGGCAAAACAACTTACTTCATCATATGTTAACTCACAACCTGTAGACTAGACTGAATTCTACCCTTAGATACATAGGTGTAATTCCTTTTGGCTTCAAAGAGGAGTGGAAATGCATAAACGCGGATAAAATTTGGCCCTGAATTTTTGGAGATGAGTAAATTGAGGTTTCTGAAGAAAAAATAAAATGGTAAAATAACTGCCAAATGCAATCATGTTATTTTGCAAATGAAAAAAAGTCTATTTGATGGCAGCCTTCAATTACCTGAAGGGGGTTCCAAAGAGGATGGAGAGAGGCTGTTCTCAGTGGTGACAGATGTCAGAATGAGGAGCAATGATCTCAAGTTGCATTGGGGGAGATTTAGATAGGATATTAGGGAAAACTATTTCCCTAGTAGGGTGGTAAAGCACTGGAATGGGTTTCCCTAGAGAGGTAGTGGAATCTCCATCCCTAGAGGTTTTTAAGTCTTGGCATGACAAAGCCCTGGCTAAGATGATTTAGTGGGGGTTGTTCCTGCGTTTAGCAGGTGGTTGGCCTTAATGACCTCCTGAGCTCTCTTCAAACCCTATAATTCTATGATTTAGCAAAGCAACAGTGGATAGGGAAGGAATTCTTGGTTCAGGTTTGCCAAAGGATAGTAGAAGAAAATGTAAAGGCACTAAGGGTGTGTCTAGACTACAAGGTTTTGTTGACAAAAGTGGACTTTTGTTGACAAAACTATACCTGCGTCTACACTACCGCTGAGTTCCGTTGACAGTAAGTCGACAGAATGCGGCAGTTTTGTCGACAGCGGTAAACTTCATTCTACGAGGAATAACGCCTTTTTTTGACAGAGTTATGTTGAAAAAAGGCGCTATTGCATCCACACAGTGCATTTTCAAAAGAAAGCGTTTAGACTCTCTGTCGAAAAAGTGAACCCTCTTTCAACAGAGGCTTTGTCAACAGTATCAGTAAAGCCTCTGTCAACAAAAACCTGTAGTCTAGATGTACCCTAGGTGCTGGTCTGTTAAATATGGTGGGCAGTGCTTTTATAGTACCATAAATAAAATTCAGTAAAATAAATTTTAGTTCTGTATTAAACTTAGCACTTTATTTTGCTTGATGCTATAAAATTTTGCTTTTCTGACTACCAAAGCAAAGTTTGTTTGGAAGCATGTACCTTGTAAAATGTTGCAGTATTTCCTGTGTTAGATGTCTATATTCAAATAATGATGAGAATAGTTTATTGCATTCTGACAAGATATTTTGGATAGATATATATAACTGAACATCATGGTTGTGAGATGAAGAACTCTGGCCTTTTTATTTCCTAAAAATAAGACTATAAAAATATTTTTCCATTGGAATTATGCATCCTTCAGCACACCTTATTTTGTAATGTGAAGAGATTTTCCTCACTCTTGTGATAGATCATTTCTGTGTGAAGTGCAGTTTTTCACAGGATTGTCAGCATTTTGTACTTTTCATTACAAATCAATAGCTGGGATAATTAGGAAATGTCTAACCCAAACATGAAGGAAGAGCTTAAAAAGGAGATATGTTGCATAACGTTTAGTGTTTTATTTAAATTGCCATTTTGTATTAACTTCACATAAGCCACCTGTTTTACCATCTTAGGGAAGCGTTCATTTTCTAAAGTCTATTCTGTACCAACACATTGGTATTTGTATTATATGTAATGCTTCAGCATGATTTTAAGTAGTACACATTTTCAAACAGCTTGGAGGAAAAAGTGCAACCACTACACAATGTGGAATTTTTTTTATTTCTAAGATTTGCTGTTTCACTGTATTGACTTGACAATTTATAACTTTTATGAATCAGAATGATTTCCTTTGTAAATCTGTTTTAATTAAAGTATTCTAAGAGCGACAGGAACAGATACACAACTATTTGAGGTTTACAAACTACATCTTTGATAAGGAGAAATGATTTCATGACATATGTATACAATTGCTATTAAAATGTATTCTATATATTCTATATGATTGTATAATATTTTATACAACAGTACAAATAAAATATTTTTCTATTATATTTATTATGTTTAAACACCATTTTTCCCCAGTTAGCTAATATAAATAACACTGTCAAACAACAAGTTGGAAGTGCTGACATTTCTAGGCCTTGAGATTTAAGTCATGCTGCATCTACAACCTTTCATGCTGTTTGCAGTTATTCCAGTGTTTGTTCAGTAGATTAAAATAAATGCATATTTAAACACAGTTATAAGCCATTATTTTTATTTTGCTAAAGCAGTTTATATAGGTTTTGTTATGTTTGGCCAGGAATGATCAGACAAACAAAATTGCAGCATCTAGGTATAAATGTTGTCAGAAAGAAAATCCAGGACTTCTAATAGTTTAAAGCATTAGGGGAACAGAAGGAAAGGAAGGAAGTTATTCTAAAAATGCTATTAATGAATTTGAAAAACTGGTGTTTGCTTTTGGTGGTAGTGTCATGTGCATGCTTCTGAAGAGACCATCTGACTATGGAAATGGACAACAGAGGTTCAAAGGCTCCTAAGGAGGGGAGAGGGGAGAGAGAGGAGGATTAACGTCCAACACTGATGTTGCAGGTCTTGCAACTGGGATCTTTCTTTGCATTTGCAGTAGACAAGCTCATTAACTGATGACCAGTAATTTCTGCAACTGTGCCAAGGGAAAGATCCACAGGATCAGTGTAAATTACTTCTAAAATAACATCCTGGGCATGGTGATAAACCATGATGCCATCTTCTTCGGTGCAGGTCAGAAATTTATTATCCTTTGAATTTAGCTGAGGAAGGCGCAGTTTACAGAATTCATCTCCTGGTGAGCCAACGGGGGCAATAACAAGAATGACATAGTGATAAGCTGTGTACATGCAATAGAAGTCCCCAAAGTACAAGTTAGTATTTGGATTGAAAAGTTTTTCAGCTGCAATCTCAAACCTGTATCTTCCATAAGGTGAATCTTGTGGTGGCTTTCCCGTGTTAAACTCAGTGTTGCAGCTAAAGAAGATGCCTTCCAGCTTCCCACTGATTGGAGAGCCATGGCTACCACTGTTATCCTTGACAGAAGGCTGCATTGCATTTCCATGTTGCTCTCTAAAAATGAATATCATTGTTTATTTTGTAGTGAAGAGTACAAGTTTGGCTACTTATAAGACTGCCATCATGTCACAAGGGACATAAAGAGAAGTTAGTCAATTGAAAAATAAGTTTAACACCATGACATTTTTAAGGGAAAGCAAAACCAAATAAACGAAGGCATGACCAGGGTGACAGAATTGTTTTCCTTTGTTTTTGGCGATAAGTTTTGTGGCTAAAGAAGCAAAACAATTAAGAAAAAACCCACCTCAGAAGTTGTAACAATAATGAGATTTTAAGTCTAGATTAAAAGTAATAAATAAACCCAACCATGCTGCAATATCCTTGAATGTTTCCAGTGGCTGATGCACACATTCACATGATGGTTAGTTCCCCTTTCTATTTTCCAGTGCCTCTATGATAGGGGGATGTAGGAATTCCCTTGCCCTCTTATCTGCTGCCACTCCGCTCCTTACACAGTCAGGAATAACTGAAGTAACAGGGACTGAAACACAGAAAATCTCTCTCTCTTTCTGTGAGTTTTATTTAAACAGATCTTCACAGATTTTGAATGCTAGGAGAGCTCCGTACAAGCACTGTGGAGTTCTGCCTGGCAGCTCTGGAGAGGAAGTGGTAAAGATGATAGTTTCATTCTAGTAAGTTTGAGGAGAGGATTCCCCAGTAGGACCCCATTCCATTTTCTTCTAATAAAATCTGCTGCTCCATATTACTAAGACATGGTCCAATTTGTCTGCCGTCTATTTCAGTGGAAGTGGGTCTAGACCCAAGATGAGATATAATTTGATTCTTTCAGTTGTAGTCGTAAAACCAAAGTTACACAAACCCAAACATTTCATTGCAAGTCAACATTTGAAGTGCACAGATTCTGTGTGTGTTTGTGTGTGTGTGTGTGCATGCATGTACGCACACATAAAAACTAGGGTTATGAATTGTTGACCTGCGAGGGCTGGAGCAGCTCCCCACACACCATGGAGCCATGGGGGGGGCGACACTTCAGCCCAGCTGGAAAAGTCTCTGTCCATGGCAGACCTGGCCTGGATGGAGCAGCATGTTGCAGGTGAGGGCACACCAGCCTGTCCAGTGCAGCCCCTACTCGCAGCGGGAGGAGGAGGAGGGGTTGCCTCTGTTTTAGCAGTTGACCTATTAAACATAATGTTTAACTGGTTAAAAGGAATTATACACCCTAATAAAATATGTTGAGCATATCTCATACTTTGTTTGCCTAAATGCTTTCAAAGTGCAATAAATCGTCAGCACCTTCCTATTTAGAAAATATGTTTTACTGAACTTACCACTTCTCTTGTCAAAGCCATGACTGATTTCTTTTTCTGTTTTCTACCTGAGTTGTAAACGATTAATTCTCAACACATCGTAGGTCTCATATCCATCTCCATCTTTATATTTCACAGTACGCTTGTCATCTATCTGGTATGCTAAATTACTATTCTCCATTCATGCAAATTGACCAGGCTTAAAAGATGTTTTTCAGAAAGCTTTCCAACAATAATTCACCAGCAGAAACTGCTTGTGCTATACATGCCGTGCTCAATTTAGCCCATCATCTGATACTGTGATGCATTACATTCTGATCTATGTGAGTCGTTTCACAGGCTGGTGATAGCAAGTGAAGATCTAATTCCTATGTGCTATAAAGAACACGTTTCATTGCGCATGCTCAGCATACGAACAAAACTGACCAACCTGATGTGTTAGTACCTTAACACCACTTGCAAAGGTCAGTAAGTTTCCCTGTACAACAGCTATTCCTGTTTGTTCCCCATGTCATTTAGAAAGGTTTAATTTCAATAAAGCAGACTTTGTTAGAAAATTTTGTTTTCAGCCAGGCAAACACAATACAGGTGGGACCTTCCTGGTCCAGCGCCCTCAGGATCTGACCAGTCCCAAATGAGGGAATTTTCCTGACCAGGGAAGGTCACCTGCCACCAGCTCCCCAACCATCTGTTCCTAAGTGCTCCTAGCTCTACTACTGCCCCAGCCACTCCCCACTTCTACCTCCCCCACTGCCACCCCAGCCAGGCTGCTGCCATGCTGCTGCCAGCCCATGGCCCTAGTTACATAAGAACATAAGAACATAAGAATGGCCGTACTGGGTCAGACCAAAGGTCCATCTAGCCCAGTATCCTGTCTACCGACAGTGGCCAGCACCAGGTACCCCAGAGAGGGTTGACCGAAGACAATGATCAAGCGATTTGTCTCCTGCCATCCCTCTCCAGCCTCTGACAAACAGAGGCCAAGGACACCATTTTATCCCCTGGCTAATAGCCTTTTATGGACCTAACCTCCATGAATTTATCCAGCTTCTCTTTAAACTCTATTATAGTCCTAGCCTTCACCGCCTCCTCTGGCAAGGAGTTCCACAGGTTGACAACACACTGTGTGAAGGAGAACTTTCTTTTATTAGTTTTAAACCTGCTGGCCATTAATTTCATTTGGTGTCCTCTAGTTCTTCTATTATGGGAACTAATAAATAACTTTTCTTTATCAGCCATTAGAACCCTTGCTTGCTAGTCTTAAATATACCTCATTTTTGCAGGACTGATTATTACACAATCAGAGAGCTTCTGAATGATAAGGAAACCAACACTTTGAGGCAAGGAATGCTAGTTAGAGTGAACGGTTACAAATGTTACTGCCAGGTTTTGTGGCCACCAACAGCTTAGTCATGAGCACAATATAGCACCTTTCTGGCTAGACATTTTTAGCAAACTGGAAGACCCACAACTTGCCTGTTTCTTGTAACATCCAAACATCTTCATGTATTCTAACAGCAAGCCATGCATTAAATTAGAATCAGGTTTTATTTCACTTTATGAAGGTAATCATATATCTAGTAGCCCATTGTCTGTGACTCTGTAACGTTGTAGCATCACTTGTTGCCTCTGGGGAGCGCTGTTGCCTCCCACCGTGGTGCTCAGTTGACTTCTGCGCCCCTCAGCTGGGCCGCCGTGGAGAAGCAAGCAGAGCAAGCAGCTGTTTGGGCTCCACCCTGGTGGCCCGGCTAAGCGGCGCAGAACTCAGCCGAGCGCCACGGTGGGAGGCGAAGGGGGGTGAGGCAGTGACGTACACGGTCAGGCCCCGCCCCATGGCCATGAACAGACCCTAGCCAAGGGGATGGCGGGGGAACAAGGGGGAGGAGGAGGACAACTGGGAGGCTGCAGGATCAGTGCTGGGGTGAAGGAAAATGGTGCAGGGGGCTTATAGGCAGCTGTTCAGCTGGGCTGCCGTGTGGGAGCAAGCGGCGCAAACAGCCGTTTGGGCTCCGCGCTCCCCATGCAGGAGGGGGAGAAGAAGAGAAAGAGACGGAGAGAGAGGCAGGAGATGGAGGAGAGCTGAGAGAGAGAGGGGGGAAGGAGGTAGGAGGAGGGGAGAGAAAGAGAGACGGAGCGAGAGACTGGAGGCTCAGGAGAGAAGACCAAGATAGAAAGGGAATAGGACATGGAGGAGAGACCTGAAAATCCCGTTTTATGATGGGCTAGTTAGCTAGTTTCTTAATAAGAGGAAAAACTAGCTCAGGCTAGAATCTTATGCAAACCAAAAACATATAGAATAAAGAAAAGTTAGAAGGCTGTCACTTGAGTAGTGCAGCCACAAGGACTTCTTTGTGTGGAGGAAATCCAAAAGTACAGCTATGAATAAGCCCTATCAAATTCACAGTCCATTTGGATCAATTTTTTACAGTTTTAAGATTTTAAAAATTGTACATTTCATGATTTCAGCTATTTACATCTGAAATTTCCTGGTGGTGTAATCGTAGGGTTCCTGACCCAAAAAGGAGCAGTGAGGAAGGGGGTTGCATTACTGCTACCTTCACTTTTGTGCGGCTGCTAATGGCGGTGCTGCATTCAGACCTGGGCAATTGGAGAGTGGCAGCTGCTGGCCAGGAGCCCAGCTCTGAAGGCTAAGCTGCCACCACCAAGAGCACAGAAGTAAGGGTGTCATGGTATGGTGCTCAGCCTACAACCACCGTTCTTTAGCTATCCAGCTCTGAAGTCAGTGCAGAAGCAAGGGTGGAAATTCCTCAACCTCCCTAAAATAATTTTGTGCCCTGCGACTCCCTTTTCAGTCAGGACCCCAAGTGTGAGAAATGCTGGCCTCCCCCATGAAATCTGTATGATAAAGGGTTAAAAGCACACAAAAGAACAGATTTCATGGTCCATGGTGTGTTTTTCATTACCATGAATTTTGAGGGGCCCTACCTATGAATGGCTACCATCAGAGCAAAATTCTGTGAACTCAAATGCACATGCACTGTGAGCTAGGAAAGACGTGACCTACCCGGTAGCTATAAGGACCGGGTAAGCCTGGGCATTCCAAAAGAATGATGTGCTCTTATTCCAGGACTCAAAGTCCCAATCCAACACAGAGCTGCTCCTGTTTAATGAAAGTGTTACTTCTCTCAAACTGAATTAGACTTGAGTAAAACTTAAAGGCATGCATTGTTGAAGCAGGCTTAACATAGGCTGAAGTGTAGAAAAAAAAGCCTGTTTACACAACTTTACAGGCAGTAATCAGAACTCCAATTCTGTAAGACAGTGCAAAACCAGAGTTCTGCTGCATTTCTTAGTGATGGCAATGGATATTCCAGACCAGTTTTCTAGAAGAGTATTCCTAGCGGAGTCATTGCATAGTGCTTTTCCTAAGACAGTTTCCTGTTCAGTCTCCTGAGCTTTACCTTTGGGGTGATGTCATCTATATTTTGACTATCTAGCTTTTATCTTCAGCACTAATCTGGAAAATATGTAGATACACTGCATGGGTGGAAGTTAAAACCCATGTTAAGAGACTTTTAGGGTTGCACAATAAGGCATTCAAAATAGGGATGTGAGTAATCGACTTGTGCTTATTGAGTAGTCGAGCAGAGTACTCAACTACTCGTTTCCCCCTCCCTTGCTGTCTCTGCATGAGAGGCAGTGGGGAGAGGGGCAGGAGCCAGTATTGTGGGGAGCTGGCTTAAAAGGGGGCCACCTGCACCTCCCCCAGTGTCTCTATCAGAGGTTTCAGGGGGAGGGAGGAGGACAGGAGAGGCTGCTGCGAAGCTGCACTGGTAGCAGCCTCTCTCCGCAGCCATGAACAGGGGCTGCTGGACCCAGCATGAGCTGGGACTGAGCAGTTCCGACTTGTGGGGACCACTGTGCCTCTGCATTTTAAGTGCAGAGCTGCAGCGGTATAGAGCCGGCATGACCAGAGACTGATCAGTCCCGGCTTGAGTAGACTCCTGGAAATACCCCTGCTCTGCAGAGCAGCTCATTTATTGACTAATTGTGTAGTTGATACAAATTGTATCAACCACACGATTAGCCAAATAACTGCTCTTTATCATCCTTAATTCAAAAGTCAGTAAGGGAGAGAGCCACAAAAAAGACTTAGGCACCTAAGTCGCTAGGCATACATGTCCAACACGTAGGCACCACTGTGACCTCAACCCCCCTGCTAAGCTGCCACCCAACCCTGGAGGCACCTGAAATCCCTATGAATTCGTGTTTCCACCATTAACAATCCTTCTGCACCTGGGTTTCTGCCAATGTGGATGTGCACAGCCAACTTAGACTAGGGGAGCAGGTGCTTTAGCTTCTGCAGGACCTCCAGAGTAGGTGCTTCTATCCAACACACCTGCAAGGCCCAAGCCAGTAGCCATTTCAATGCCTATGTTTCTCTTTGGATCTGACTTTAAATGCCAGTATTCAGGCTGCATATGCTTGATTACTTAATGTGCATATGCAAATTTGAGAGACATATGTATACACCAAGTACTTGCATGCACAAAATTGTGCACTCCTTATCTTTAGAAGTCTCATTTAATTTCTTGTACATCATCAATCATCATCATTATTTTTACTTAGTATTTAGATTAGGATGGAGGCTAGAGGCTTACTCAGATTGAAACTCCATTACAACAAGCATTGTGAAAATACTGTTTTTACTCCAAAAAGCAAACTTATTTCCCATTCCCATTCAGTGCTAAATTGTTTACATACATGTCATTTTTATTCTTGAACTGGAATTTAGTGCATAGACTTTTTGTTGTAAAATTGCAGCATGCTTCTTCACATATATATATTTATGTTGCATTGTATTTTAATACTTCACTGGATTTATATATATATATATATATATATATATATATATATATATATATATATATATATATATATATATATATATATATATATATATATATATATATATATATATATATATATATATATATATATATATATATATATATATATATATATATATACTGTATACATTATATACTGTATATAAAGTGTTCTTAATCCTTTTTATTGCATATACTGTATACAGTATACTGTAATGTTTTAGTTTTTTTAAGCCTCTTTTACCCTTTTTGCTCAGTTCAGATGCTGCCGCTGTTATCTTGTGACTCATTTTTTGCTGAAGCTCACTCACTAGGCTCTTGCCATTTTGATGCCGGACTATCAGGAGTGCCGGACTATTGGATGCCGGGCTATTGGAGTTTTACTGTACTATCTTAATGCGGGAAAACCATTTTACCGTGCTGTTTCTTACCTGATATAATCAAAGTATTCTTTGTGCTGATTCCGATAAAAAACAGAAAGCTTAAGCATACGTCCTGCAATCACTTCAGCTTTTTCCAAAAGCTGTGTTAGATGAACTTTTGAATAATCTGTGAAGAAAAGATTATCTGCTAGTAAAAAAGAAACACAACAATCACAGTCTAACAGTATTTTGATTTTTTGTATAAAGCAGAGAGGCACAGAGAAAGATTTTTGGGACACAGGCATTAAAGCGTAAAAGTTTGCCCCAAAGTGACACTACCCGTAAGTGGCAGTCCTAGGAACAGAATCCCCATCCACCAGGTTACACTACTCCTCATGACTTGATGAACAAAACTAGATGCAATTTTTACAAGGGCTTGATAGCATTATCTCCTACTAATGTGCTTTTCCCTTAAAAAAATGCTCCCTACTCCCCATGTGACTATGACCTAGTATCACAATACATTACCACAGAGGCAATATGAGGGCTCTGATACTGCCCAACCGATGCAGGGTTAAACTCACTCCAGTGCATTTAGCACAAGGACTCATTACAATTTGTAATGAGGAGTACAGGCTGGCCTGTGCACTAGGGTGAATCTCATCACAATGAAGCTGTGTTCAAGTAATATAGAAGCCAAATCACTGGAGTGCAGGACAAGGTGAGGTGGAGGTGGTGGTGCTCTGAGGCTTTCCACAAGCAACAGCCTTGAGAACCTTGCTGCATGCTGAACAGAAGCACATGGAGTGCTTTCAGGAAACTGCGTAGCTACTTGAGGCTGAAGACAGATGCAAGAATGGCACTCCTTCAGTTTTATTCAGTTTTGATCACCTAGACTGCCACCAGGTGCATTGTTTGGCCAACTGCTAATGGTCTGTGCACTGCCTGCTTTGTATACAGTGTGATAAGGTCAGACCACAGGGCTGCTACCGTGTAAGGGAAAGGCAGACCAAAAGGCATGCTAATTAGAGGTAGAGGGCTTCAGGGCAATTAGGAGAAGCTGGCAGGGAGCTGGCCCAGGCAGATTGGGACTGGCTGACTCCACTTCAGGCCTGCTGGAGGCCTTTAAAAATCTCCCCAGTTAGAAGGTGGAGGAGAGAGTGAGAGGCTGGGAGGTGAGATGGAGAGCAAAAGTTTGACACAAAGTACTAGCAGTTAGGGTATGTCTGGACTGCATCCCTCTGTCGGCAGAGGGATGCAGACTAGGCAGGTCGACATTGCAAATGAGGCAGGGATTTAAATATCCAGCACCTAATTTGCATAAAAATGGCCACCACTTTTTGCTGACTCAGCACGTTGTTGGCAAAAAGCAGCAGATCTTGTAAACCTCCTTGCAGGAGGCATAAGGGAACTGTCGAAAAAGGCTTTCTTTCTCGACAGATCCCCCTCTGGACTGCTGCTTTTTGCAGACAAAGTGCTGAGTCAGCAAAACACAGCGGTCATTTTTATGCAAATTAGGCACGGGATATTTAAATCCCTGCCTCATTTGCAATGTTGACCTTCCTAATCTGCATCCCTCTGCTGACAGAGGGATGCAGTCTAGACATACCCTTACAGAGCTAGAGAGAGCAGGGAAAGGAGTTCCAGGAAGAGGGGCAGGGCTCCCTACTCCACATGCCAGCTGCAAGCCCAAGCCCTGACAAAGAGAGGAGGCTGCTGGCCCAAACACTGGCTAGGGGAAGCTAGAAGGACAGTGTCTGAGTGTAGGAGAGGCCTGGGTCTCTGTGTATCTTCCTTCCCACATCCCAACAAGAGAGCAGTCCTGGTTTCATTACACATTTTAAACAGAAAGTAAGCCACCTAAACCACCCCTTACATTACCATGTGGGACTGGTCCTGATTATTATGTGATGTAGACAGAAGCTAACTGCAAAGCATGCTTGTTTTTTTTCTTTCTTTAGATGCTGTATCTTTTACCAGCAATCTTACCTGCTGTACAAAACTCTATGATTTCACTCCACTCAGAAACAACGTAATCACCATCTACTTGCTTTGATGCTGTCTGCACTGCAACTGTATATTCTGTTCTTGGGCTCAAGAACCAGTGTCCACGAACTGTCATAGGGAGCGGAACAGCTTTTGCAACCAGTTTAGTAGGTACATCCTAATGAAATAAAAAAAGTTTGATCATGCTATATTCAGAAAGTCCTATAATTTTAGGGTCATGAATGTCAATAACCTTATTTAAACCCCCCAGGCCCAACTTCTACTAACTATTCTCACATGAGTACCACAGTGATGTTAACCAGATGACACACATAAGGAAAGGAAGTGAGATTTAGCCTTTATCTAAACACATGCTTTTAATATTGGGGCTATATGATTATAGAATATTATTACCTGTAGCACTATAGATTAGTGCAGTAGTCTCCAACCTTTTTAGGCATGAGATCACTTTTCGAACTTAAGTACAATCCAGGATCTGCCTCAAACACAAACACCCTTGCCCCGCCTCCTTCCTGCCCCTTTTCTGAGCCCCTGCCCCTGCTCACTCCATCCTCCCTCACTTTTATCAGGCTGAGAGCAGAGGGTTGGAGTGTGGGGAAGGGGGATGCAGACACTGATCTTGGGCTAAAGGTTTTGGAGTGTGGGAGGGGCTCTGAGCTGAGCCTGGGGCAGGGAGTTGAGGTGCAGGAGGGGGCAGGCTCTGGGAGAGAGTTTGGATGCAGGGGGACTCAGGGCTAGGGCTGGGGTTTGGGGGTGCAGGAGGAGTTCAGAACTGGGGCTGGAGGAGAACAGCAAGCAGGATGTTCCTGGGGGTGAGGGGCAGTTCCAAGGCAGAGGGCAGGAAGAGCATGGCCGTGCTGAGAGGGGCAGATAAAGGAGTGGCACTTGATAGCCTCCCAGCCAAACCTGTCAGGATCATCTGATCAAAGGTTTCATGATCTACCAGTAGATCCCAATTTACAGGTTGGTGACCACTGGATTAGTGGTTCTTAACCTTTCAAGACTATGCCCCTTTCTGGAGTCTGATTTTGTCATGACTATCCCCTGCAAGGTTTACCTCACTTAAAATACTTGTTTGCAAAATCAGATATAAAAATGCAAGTGTATCTTTACACTTACTTTGTATACACTACTACTCAAAATTGATTATTTAGATTATTGATTATTTGACTATGCACTTATAAAATAAATCAACTGGAATATAAATATTATACTTACATTTCAGTGTATAGTATATAATGCAGTACAAAAAGGCCGCATGAAATTTTAGCTTATACTGAGTTTGCTGGTGCTTTTTATATGGCCTGTTGCAAAACTAGACAAATAGCTAGATGAGTTGACATATACCCTGGAAGAGTGCCTCATACACTGTTGAGAACCACGTAATAGCTCAAGGAGATCAATTTGTATTTAAACATGCAAGCCTGTGGGATTAGGACTATAATTTGATTACGATACACTATGCTGCTAAGGAAATGTTAAGGCCATTAAAACATAAGCTTACTGGGTCTCTAAATATAATTTCACTGACTTCAGTGTTGATTGACACCTGCATGAAAGAAGAATAGTCTTTCACATAGCTCAGCACAAAATTAAGACAGCGCAGCCTAAATATTTCAAAACCAGTGCTTCATGTGTCAAATATATCATAAGGAAAATAAGGATTACCATACTGGCAGACCAAAGGTCCATCTAGCCCAGTAGTCTGTCCTCTGACAGTGGCCAATGCCAGGTGCCCCAGAAGAAATTAATAAAATGGACAATCATCAAGTGTTCCCTCACCTGTCACTCATTCCCAGCTTTTAACAAAGGCTATGGACACCAATCCTACCCATCTTGACTAACAGACATTGGTGGATCTCTTCTCCATGAATTTATCTAATTCTTTTTTGAACCCTGTTAAAGTCCTGGTCTTTACAACATTCTCTGGAAAGGAGTTCCGCACGTTGATTGTGTGCTGGGGAAAGAAAAATTTGCTTTTCTTTGTTTTAAATTTGCTACCTATTAATTTCATTTGGTGACTCCCTAGTTCTTATGTTATGGGAACAAGTAACTTTTCCTTATTTACTTTCTCCACTCCATTCATGATTTTATAGACCTCTATAATACTCCCCCCACCACCACCTTAGTCTCCTCTGTTGAACATTGAAAAGATGATTTATCCACTCTGACTCCAATCTTTCTCTGTTGAGTGGTAATAGCTAATTGAGTCCCCATCATTTCACATGTATAATTGTGATTATGTTTTCAAGCATACATTACTTTGCGTTTATCAGCATTAAAATTCATTTGCCATTTTGTTGCCAAGTCACCCAGTTCTGTGAGATCCTTTTGAAGTTCTTCATAGTTTGGTCTTAACTATCTTGAACAGATTACTATCATTTGCGAATGTTGCCACCTCTCTGTTACCCTTTCTCCAGATCATTTATGAATATGTGCAATAGGATTGGGACCAGTACAGACCCCTGCGGGACACTACTACTTACCTCTATCCATACTGAAAACTGACTGTTCATTCCTACTCTTTGTTTCCTATCTTTTATCACAACAAACCTGTTTAAAAACAACACCTGGGAAAAGCAAATGCATGACAATAAGTGGAATTTGTGTTGTAAGCTTTGTGTCTATCACTGTAGTCTTCTGGTTCCCCCCCCCCCCCCCCCATTGTTTTGTTGTGCCAGAGATTCAGAGCCCATTGTGCTGATATCAAAGATGGAGTTAGGAATGCTCCAATTCCAGTTGGGAATGCTCACAAGAGGCTGAAATGCTTGACCTCTGCAACATTGAAGACTTCAGCTTAGATCTGGCTATGAGGGAGTAGATGATATGCCAGGTTTCCTTGCCAGTATTTTGCAGGAAACAAAGCTGATTTCTGCATCCTTCAAAACCCTGCAGAAGCCTTGATCTTGGGAACAAAATGTGTGCAACAATATTAAAATGGAATGTATTGATTAACATAATGGTAATCTTCTATTCCCTATTAGGGTGTAAGCAAGCTTAATAGTGTGTGAAATATGAATAACAGCATGCTTTAGAACATACAGGTAATTTTAGAATTACTATTATTTTTATTACAAGATTACCAAATTAAAAAGAGTTGTGATGTATTCACAATTATCCATTCATTAGAATAGCAAATAGTGCCTGTCAGTATTCATTGATTAAAAGCTGCAAAGGCTGTCATTCTGGGAGGAGAGTCTGTGGTAAGAGAATGTGCATTTGAGAAACTGCTGGGAGAGAATCCCTGCCTAAGGAAATGGGTGGAATGGTTGCTTTCACATGGGATGGCTGTAAATGAGGGCTGCATTGTATCAACGTGATATGATTAAAAGAGATCAGAGACATTGACTAGTTGTCCTGGGGGCGAGGGCAGGCAGGAAGAGGTAGTGGTGATGGTTTTGTCACAATAGTCTCCTTGTGGTGTGGAAGATGGAAGCAAATTACAGTGGGAGAGATCTAGGTTGGATATAAGGAAAAACTATTTCACTAGGAGGGTGGTGAAGCACTGGAATGGGTTACCTAGGGAGGTGGTGGAATCTCCATCCCTAGAGGTTTTTATGTTTTAAGTCTTGGCTTGACAAAGCCCTAGCTGGGTTGATTTAGTTGGGATTGGTCCTGCCTTCAGCAGGGGACTGGATTTAATGACCTCCCTGAGGTCTCTTCCAGCTCTGTGATTCTATGATTCTATGAAATTGGGATGGAGTGTGGAAGGCATTCCTTGTATATGGGGGAGGAGGAGTGGGTGGCAGATGGGAACCATAGCATCTTAAAATGGTTGCTGCCACATGAACAGTGGACATTTTAAATTAATCTAGCTTCATCCAAGTATAAACCAGGGATATAAGTGACTAGTTGACTAGTCAACTATCCAATAAGCAAAAGCTTATTGAATAGTCGACTAGTTCCTCAACTAGTTGCTTAAAAGCCGGTTCCCTCCAGCACTGTCTCCTGAGGGGGCAAGGGAGTAGCGGGAACTAGGCACGAGCCAGGAATCAGCTGATTCCCAACTTGCACTCAATCCCAGATGCTGCGACTCTGCTTTGTGAAAGTATTAAGAGCCTGCTGACTGTTAATAGATTTAAAAATCAGAAGCTCAGCAAGGGGGACCCAGCATGAACCAGGCCAGCTGATTTCTGGCTCACGCTGGGTTCCCCCTGCTGCACTTTAGCCCTTTAAATGTATTAAGAGCCCACGGGCTCTTAATACATTAAAAAGCAGAATCACAGCATCTGGGACTAGTTTAGTTGATTAAACTATATTTAACATCCCTAATACAGATGAAAGCAAAGGTTTTGTTTCTGCATGACCCATAAACAAACTTGGAAAGCGTTTCAATTAAGAAAAATTATTTATTTTCTGTTTGTTTTTATATTAGCAATAATAGCCCTTATTTTCCCTGTTCATATAGGAGGACTATTTGGAAACAGAATAACTAGCAGGAAAGTAACAACAAAAAACTAAAAAGTGATCAGATCGGAGAAGAGATTTCATTTTACATTTCTTCATATGCCACCCAATACTTATAACTAACTTGTTGAGAGGAAAACTCTTTTTGTCAGAGGGTATGTCTAGATTACATCCCTCTGTTGCCAGAGGGATGTAAATTAGACATACCAAAATTACTAATGAAGCAGGGATTTAAATATCCCGTGCTTCATTAGAATAAAAATGGCCACTGCTTTTTGCAGATGCAGCAATTTGCCGGCAAAAAGCGGCAGTCTAGACGGTGATTGGTCGGCAAGGAAAGCCTTTTGCGAGCAATTCCTTATGCAACGAGGCATAAGTGATCGGTCAGAAAAGGCTTTCCTTGCCAACCGATCCCCATCTAGACTGCCGCTTTTTGCCGGCAAATTGCCGCCTCGGCAAAAAGCGGCAGCAATTTTTATTCTAATGAAGTGCGAGATATTTAAATCCCTGCTTCATTAGTAATTTCGGTATGTCTAATTTACATCCCTCTGGTGACAGACGGATGTACTCTAGACATATCCAAAGACTCCACTGCCCTGTCTCTGATGGCTGAAAAAGCTCCCTTTCCAGTTATTTCTGTGACTTTGAGGCTAATTCACTCTCTTTCTCTCACACAGACACAGACAGAGACACATACACTCTCAGGGTACGTCTACACTACAGCGCTAGTTCGAACTAACTTAGTTCGAA